ACGAGGCCAACCTGGAGAACAGGGTGTTCCTGGAAATGATGGCTTACCTGGGAATGTTGGATCAGTTGGACCCCCTGTAAGACACTCTGTTCTTTTGAGCTAAAATATCCTCCAAGAAATTCTTAGAGTACTGAGATGGTGGTTTGGATATTGCTCACATTTACATGTGTGCAGCACCATTTAAGCATTTGCATATGTGTCTGAAAGAATGGAATTGGAGCAAACAAAGCCAAATTAATTCCTGGTGTCAGTGGAATATAAACCTGGAATGAATTTGAATCAGTAGATCTAGATTTTACTGAGAAGAATAAAGATATTAGACCAAAGTAATAAGCCATTAGCAGGGATCCTGGTTTTCTCTGATAAAAAATCCCCAATTTTTGGGTTAAAAACAAGTAACCCCAAATCCACATTTTTCCATGATCAAAATGAAACACCACTATACACACACACAGATGCACACACATATATATGTATGTATATGTATATATATGTGTGTATATATATGTGTGTGTTTATGTGTGTGTGCGTGTATATATATACATATATGTAGAGATATATAGATATACATGTATATCAGGTATATATGTATTATATATAATAACTTTTACTATCAATCATGTTAGCTGGATACTGGCAGAGAACTGCATTTCCAAACATTGTTCCATACGTAATTACAGGAAATTCAGGAGATGCTTCAGTGAGCTACATTATTAATAGGACTGTTTGGCATATTTTATTTCTCAGATTGTTCTAACAATCTTTTTTATGTAGGGGCTCCCCTTTCCAGAAACTCGTGTGATAGAGCTATGCAAAAGGATTGCTTTAGAACAAATGTCCACCTTTGCAAACAATGTGATGAAGAAATGTGCTAGCACATGCCCACTATATGGAGATGTGCCTATGGGGTCCCCAGGACCTGTTGGTTTGCCTGGACCTCCTGGAAAAGAGGTAAGCATGGAAAGAAAGTAAAACACATCTCTGTTTACACTGCTTCTGTTACTGAAGCATTGAAAACAATGCTAAGAGACAATAATACATGGACATCAACAACCTGCAGATCTTGCTGTCACTGAAATCAAGTCAATGAGAGTTTTTGATTGATGTCAATGGGATGCATTTTCCTGCAAGGGAAGACAAGTATATCAATTTACCATACTATGGAAGCAGTTAACAGATTACATATAATGTTCTGAGACCTCTGCTATGTTGTTTTAAGCTTAAAGACATGTATAGTAAGACTGTCACAAAAGGCTGAATAAATATACTTCATTCAATTATATAATTAAAAAACCTTTCAAGACACAAGTGGTATGAAACAGGTTTTTAGTTAATTCTTGCATGATGTTCAGCATCTCTAAAGGCAACCTCTGACTCATAGTCTTGGCATTCATCATCCACTAATCTAGGAAATCTCGATGTTTTTGAGGGCTATAACTGCATTTTGAACAGCACAGAAGTGTTTTCTGGTACCTACAGCAAGTAATATAACAAATGACTAACAACTTAATTAGTTCTTTTATCAGTTATCACATTCATTATTGTGCTAGAGCCAAAATCTAATCACATAACCTAATTAAAATTACCATGAAATCTTGAATAGTTTAGGGCTAATTGATTTTCATAGATACTTATTTTATTACAAATAAGTGCCTGCAACATGATGCACTATGAATAAAGAATGATTTTTCTTTTGATTATAAAAAATAAATACCAAGACTGTAGAACAACATTAGATTTGATGGAATTTTCCACAGGTTTATAAAATAATTTTTTTGAGCACAAAGTGGTACATTACTGCATGCAACATTCCAATAGTAGAGCAAAAATGGGTTTGTTTCCATGTGAAAGTTTTAGGTTAATATAAAGGCTAATATTACTTACAGAAAAACAGACCATAAATAAAAGATTTTACTGGTGGCCTCACATATCCCTGCCATCTGTAAACACTGGCTTCATACTTGCTCACCTCCTTTTAAACACATTTCAGCATGTCCAGAGTTCTGTGCCAAGCTGACAGCATGCAGCATTGTCTTTTTATTTATTATCTCCTCTATTCCACAGTGTATAACAAAATTGCTGTCTAATGTATTTTAAATTTTTAATAGCCTTTTTCTACCTTATTTCTTTGACCCAATCAGCCCTTGTTCTCCCACTTCATTCAGCTGTATCTGGGAATACTTTCAGGTTTACCACGTTTAACCTTCGTTATTACATAGTCACTTTTTTGCTCCTTAAATATGGAACAGCCTCGCTTTTCCTATTCCAATGTCCATCCTCACTTTTTCAAACTGCAATGGTGGGTAAAGTGTTCCTTCTTTCCTTACTTCCCTCCATCCCTTCTCTATGACTTTTGTATTGTCTTCATTAGGAAACATAATGCAGTTTAAAGATGATTTTTAACAACTGAGTTAGGTAAGGTGATACAGACAATTGATGACTTGTTTGTCTATGTTCAGCATTCAGTTAATTAGATTTTAAACATTGCAATAATCTAGTGAAACTCGGGATTTTTTTTAACTGTTATCCAGGAACTTCAATTTTTTTTTCTTTTTAACTCTAAAATCAGTTCATAAACAAAGAAAGGACTAAATGTTTTATTGTTGTGGAGGGAGAGGGGGGAGTGAAAGGTTACTATTTAACTTTTGATTTTAAGTTAACATCAGATGATTTTTGTTTTCTCCATAGTGTAGCTAATCCTCTAATTCTTTTATTGATACATCTCTCTCGTTTTATTTGCTGGTATTGACTAGAATTTAACTATGAAAGAGAAAAATGTATTTTGTTGTCATATCATATCATATCATATCATATCTCATAATATAATTTATTTAACATTTTTATAGGGCAACCCTGGGTTGAATGGAGTTGATGGGGAACATGGCCCTGAAGGGTTTTACGGAGATTTTGGGGATCCTGGAAAAAAAGGCTCAATAGGTAGAATATTTTAAATACTAGAATAAAAAAGAATATTCTATGCTATAAATTACAGCAGCCACACATGTGAGTAATCTCTAAGATATGTTTTAAAAATTATTTTTAGGTGAACGTGGTGACAAAGGTCATAAAGGTGCCAAAGGTTTTGGGTTAGTTGGCTCTGAGGGCAACCAAGGTCTAAGAGGTACCTATTTACTCTGTTTTTGAAATCTTGCTTGCTATAAACACATGTTTGTGGGGAAATTTCTATATTATGTACTATTGTAGCATGTTACATTTATGTCTTAAGGATGTATGAGATGATTTTGCAAACTGGTGCTAGATGATTCTGTATCTGTGCATTCTGTCAAATAGGACCATCATCAATTTTGTTGTCCAAAATGTGAAATAGGCTAGGTTCAAAGACCAGACTCTGAGGTATACCACTAGTAACTGTTCTCCAGTCAGATAAGTCACCTTTCAACATAACCCAGGGTTTTCAACCTTTTTTAACAAGTGTACCCCTTCTGTCTCAAAGTTTCAGCCTATGTACCCCTTTATATTTTTTTCTTGTTTTTAATGTTTTTCCTATTTTTAATGTGCCATGCCCCCATGGCAGGAGCACACAGAGCCCCCTCAGTGTGGGGCAGCCACATGGGCCCACTGGGGTAATAATGCTGTGACACCCTTGGCTGCCCCTAGACACGGCCGGCTGCACGCATCAGATGGGACTGAATCGTGCCCTGTGTCATGAGGGCTGCATGGCTGCTGACCACAGCGCTCTCAGAAGCAGGGCCACCACCACCCACCAGCACCACCATCAGCAGCCACTGCCCTGCGCCGCTGCCTCCACCACTCCCACCCACCTTGGCCGTGTGCCTCACCCCGTGCCACTTTCCTATGGCCAGCCATGCATGCAGCTCTGCGGACTGCTGACAGCCTTCCTGCCTGGCCAATCATGCACTGCTGGGGGTGGGCACAGAATACACCCCCTCATCACCATTCGGACTCTTGCGACCATGCAGGAAGTGGGTTGCTGTGGTGCCTCCTCGCTGTCAGCTATTAGCTTAGGGCGGCAGCCTGGTGGCCAATCAGAAGAGTGAGCTGGGTGGGAGGCGGGGAGGCACCATGATGTGCTGTGTGGGACTGGCAGCACCTGGCGTGCCCCTCCCCCAGGTAAGAGGTGAAGCGTGGGAATGCGTTGGGGGAGACGCCACTGCCACGCCCTGGGGCATGCTCTGTTCCCGCCTGCCTGTGCAGCCCCAGCTCCAGCCCCAGCTCCCCATGGCTGAAGCAGGCTGCGTACCCCCTACAACCTTTTTAAGTACCCATATGGGTACACATGCCCCAGGTTGACAACCACCGATAATCCAATGTAGTCTTCCTTTAAGCAAAATCCTTATCCACCTCAAGATAGTAGTATCGATACCTGTTGTCTGGCTTGGCCAGTCATTTCCCATGAGGTACAGTATCAAAAACTTTTTTAAAGTTAAAAATTAAGTCCACTGCTCTGCTCTTATTTAAAAGCAAAGGATACTAATATTGAAGCAGTCTGAATCTGTGTTCCTTGGCTAAAACCATGTTATATTTTTGGTTTTGTAGTTCCAGGTCACTCTTTGTACCTTTTTAAAGCAGATACAAAGCATCTTCTTATAGTACCTGAACAATTTAGGGCCAGACTTTCTATTGCTGGTCCCTAAAAGATTTTTCTGCCCTTCCTGTTCTGAGACAACTGCCATTTTAGTTTGTGAGCACCAGCACTTTATAGAGATGAGTAGTAGAGTCAACAGCATTATTGGATTACCCCCTGGGCCAAGGGGATGGGCTTAAATGATCTAAAGATCCTTTTAATCTCTTACATGTATGACTCTAAATATGCTGGTAACATAAATATGCTTTCTGACTATTTCTAGGTGAACATGGAAGAGATGGACTAGTGTTTGATGGACTGCCAGGTCAGCCTGGTTCACGGGGACATATGGGGCAACCAGGACTGAGAGGCTATCCAGGATTTAGAGGACCTTCAGGCATATGCAAAATAGGATGTGAGCCAAATCTTATGAATGAAGTTCATCATCAAAGTGAACAAATGGTTCAGGGTGAATCACTGTGAAATCTTTTGGTGTAAACAAAAAATGGTAGGGGAAAACGTACCCATTCTCTCTCTTTTTAAAATGAAAATAATTGGAAAAATATTGGTAAATTCCTATGTAATATAAAATACGTTTACATTGTGAAATGATTACAGTTGATAGTGGCAAATAATTTCACTTATACCTTTTGCATAGAGAATACCTGTTCTAAAAATACTGCACTTAGCATAGATCATATTAATTATGTTACATAAAAGAGAACTAGTTTTTTTAATTGGATGAGCTAATTCTTTTCTGAATATACCTAGGAAATGTTCTTTACAATAAAAGCTGAAAAACTTACAAATTTATATTAATTTTACGGCTGTCCCTTGCTTCTCCTACCAGTCCAGACTAGGTAAAGAAGGACCATGGACATACTGTATGGGGGTCTATAAATATTTAAATATTCCTCATGAGAGAACTGCTGATGAAGGAAATTATTAATCAGTTTGTCCCGTATCATGTTTTCATGATATGATCCTGCCTGAAAATAAGCCAGTCCCTACCCAAGGCACATCACAGGGGGAAAAAAAAGTATTACACATTAACTTTAGTGTTAAGGCAGCCCAGTTCTTGCAGGAAAGATTATATCCAGTGCTCCAATGCACTGAATTGGGGTAACTGAGTTTTTGCTCGCTCAGACAGGAGAAGGGAGAGTGTCAGGACCTACCACTACATACTTTCCTCAAATGCTATACTCAGTAGGGCAAATGGGGTACTAGCTCTCTTCCTCTCCAAGTGCTCAGCATTCCCATCCCTCCTTGCTCTCTGGCATGTGGTATATATTCATTTATTAGTTTTATATGATACCCTTCCCCAGAAAGCCAATGCATTTGTGTGTGTGTGTATGTGCTAGTTCCCATCACATCAGGACTGTCTAACTGGTGGCCTGCAGGCTACATATGGCCCACAAGGAGTTAGTTTGCAGGCCCGGGGTTCCCACTTGGCTGCCATGCCCCCATTGCTTGGAACTGGAGGATCCCCGGGGTTCAGGGGGCGGGCATGCTGTGGGGTGGGGAAAGCTGCTAAGGAGTACTGTGATGGTGGTGGCAGCATGGAGGAGTCTGGCCTCCTCTGAGCCCCGATGCTGCCGCATACAGTCCACTGCAGCTCTGTTCACCCTGTATCAGGGCCCCCCCACCAGGAAGGGGCCTGCGCTCCCTGACATTATGACAGGGGCTGGTGCCTCTATCCAGGGGCCCTGCCCCCCCCT